TACTATATCATAATAAGGAACCCCCAGAGTAATCTTGGCAAATATTTTAGCCCGCTACGTAAATTCTTACAAAAAAACCAGAAATCCCAACAGCACTAAAGGAGGGTATTCTGAAACGATCATCGGATCCGGCCTGACCGTCGGGCAGGTTGACGTCTGCTCCCCTTTTCTCCACCAAGGCTTTAAGCAGGACCTGCCAGCTCCTCAGCAAGGAATAGAAACCCTTGGGGGCGCTTTCAGCCCTATATGCCTTATACCCTAAACCTTAAAGGCGACACCCGATTTTGGAGTTTGCAGAATCTGAATAAACTCCGAATCCATCATGAGCCAAACACGCACAAAGCCCGAGGAAACCCTCTGACTTACACCCATTCACAGGCACTTTAGAGAACGAGCCTACATGGCCTACATGTACTGTCTCGAGGCCCTGCAATGAAAGCAAAGCCAAGATGCCGTCCCATGGCTCCAGTCAAGGAGACACAGGCGCGAGACAGAAGTGTACGGCCCTGGTCGTCCAGGCTGTCCTGGGATTGAGTATTCTGGGATTTGGGTGTAGGGATCATGGTGTACTAGGTTTGGTTTAAAACTCTGGATTTTTGGAATTGGGCTTAGGTTTTGTGCGGTCAAGCCATGTGTACACGTATACAACATCATCCATGAGATCAGAGGCGTACAGTTTCAAAAGGAGTTGCAGATAGCCACGGTTCTTGAGTTCAGCGTACACCCTCGTATATGGGTAGTTGTCTGAATCAGGGTCCCTTTTTGGGTCCCCAACATAGTACGGCACCCTTATAAAGAGGGCCCTAAAAAGGACCCTAATTTAGAGAACTACCCATATAGGGTTTTCGGTTGGGGAGTTCCGAGCCTGGGGCATATCGCACCAGAGCTTGACACACGTTTGCCGGCCCCCGTGCTGCGTCTCCCCAAACCCCAAAGCCCTGACCCTAGAGGCCCTACGGTTGATGATATTATAAATTCTGCATTATGTTAAGGACCCTAAACTGTGGGAATTATGGTCTACTCCTTATATGGGTAATGCAGGATGTATATCATCAGTCAGTAGTGTCAGTAGTGCCTGCCCGACCTGGCATTGCCGGTATATGCTTGGGACCCTGTAGCCGGGCATGGAGCCAAGAACCTTCAGAACTTTCAATCATTGCACTCCTTACCCTAAGGGTCCATGTACCCACATATTATATACCTTGGCCCCAAAGTATCCAAATAGGGACTGCTTTAAGGCCAAAGTATATCTATTTGGGTACATGGACCCTTAGGGCTACGTATAACCGAGACCACAGACTCTGCGCACGCATTCCGTAACTCGTGGACTATACACCATGGTTCGGACCTATGTTAGTTATACTACTGCGCATCGACATGGGAATGAGCATCTCAGGTTCTTCTGTATTTGAGCTACATGGGTAGTTCTGTATATTGGGGTCCCCTTTTGAGGTCCCAAAGATAGTACGGCACCCTTACAAAAAGGACCCTAAAAGGGACCCTAATTTAGAGAACTACCCACATGGCTTCCTGAGCTCTAAACCCTAAACCCTAAACCCCAAACCCCCCCAAACCCTAAACCCTAGGCTTCATGGCCGTAGCTTTGCTCCAGGCTCTGTGTGCCCCTTGGTGCACCCAGAGCCCCCAGAGAGGGCTTAGAGTTTAGGGCTTATTGCGTGATTCCAGCTTCTTGCATAGACCTTGTGATCCTGTGAGGCTGTTTCTTGTTCGAAAAAAGATCGGAGTGTTGGGAATTGCAGTGCTGTCTGAGAGTTAGAGCCCTAAGCTCCAGGCGCATCGTGTCCCTCAGTGCTTTACATCTCTTACTTCTAATCTTGGGTCATCTTTGTCGGTTGGTTGGTTCTTTAAATCTACGTAGGTTATCAGCCGTAAACGGCTTAGGTTGGGCTATAGGCTTTGGGTTGAGGATTTATCCGGTTTAGGGATAAACCTCTTCTTGAGCGTTGCCATGGATACTCTGGCCAGGAAGCGTAGGAGTGCTGGAGTCGGTGATGTTGAAGAGGCCAGTGGGGCCGCAGAAAGGGATTACGAAACAGCTTTGGGCCAGGCAGAGCTTGGAGTAAGCTCTGGCGGCGGTGTCAGTGGGACCCTGCTGAATGGTGTGGTCGGAGGGGAGGCATCCCCAGGAACTCTGGAATCGGGGGAAGGCAGGGGTCAAGAAATAGCCCATCAGCTCCCCTCGGCGAATCCATTTCATAGTGAACGTGTCAAGGCGGAGGTTGAGCTCATTAGGAATAGACCTACGTCTTTGGATGAAGATGCGAGAAGGGCTGTGAGAGAGTATGACGATTCTGCTCTGGGAAGCCCAGTGGGAACTTTTCGCCAGGAGCCCGACTATTCGGCTTTGACAGGAGATTGCGCGGTCGCTCGAGATGCTCCCCGGGTGGCTCGTGTAGAGCCTTCGCCCGGTGATCCGAGCCCAGCAACGGGGCTAGAGGATCCTTTGGGTGCGGCTTCTGATTTGGGAAGTGTGAACGTATCTAAGGGGCCGGCTGGCCTTGGGCTAGGGGAACAGCGAGCAGGCATCTCTGGGAGGGACACTGGGACTGGCGAGGAGGATGGGCGAGAGCTTATCCCCGCGGAGGATCGGTTTGAACGTATGGAAGCGCTACTTCTTCAAGTGATGGAGGAGAATCGTAGCTTGAAGCGTCGTTTGGACCAACAGGTTGAGTCTAGGTCGCATAGCAGCTACCATAGTGGGTTGGCCACGGCCGATCAAGCCCTGTCTCCAGCGACCTTTGGTCCAAGACTAGATGCCAGTGTACAGCAGTTTCTTCCTATTGATTTCCCGGGTCAAGGTGGGATGATGGGATCGGGTTTCATGGGTATGGGAAACAGGTGGAACGGTGCTCTTCCAGGGGATCCGGCATTCTGGGAAGGTACCAGGCAAGAGGTGGGAAATCAAGGGAGTGTTCAAAGGCTTGCTCCTCGAAGTCTTGGGTTTGACGCTGAAGGTCCCAAGGCTCCCTCGCTTCCACTGCCGCTGCCGCCCGTCCCGATAAGAGCTCAATCCCCGGAACCTGAACCTCCCCAAACCATGAGACAGTTCGCGGAGAGCGTTCGAGCAGCTGAGTCGCTACAAGGGCCTCCGGGTTTTCGTACACCTAGGGGATGTCCTTCGGTAGGGCCTGCTTTCGACCCCGAGGGTTACCCGTTGTCCCCCGGTGGTACGGTGATCCGGCCGCCACCTCTTCCCATCTCGATGGCGCCGACGACGCCGAGAAGCTTTGCAGGTGCGCCTGGGGTGGGGAATGTGGGGTGTGGGAATTTACGGGGACAGGAACCTGGGTTGCGTCCGGAGGAGCCGGCTAAGTATATTTCGGAGTTACCTAAATTAGCCTCTGCTGAATTGGCAACTTCGGCTATTGTATGTGGAAATTGGCTGGCTCAGGTTCGCCAAGTCTTGGTAGGATTATCTCCTAGTGCGGGAGTCTGGTGGCAAGGGGTAGAAGGGCCGGTAAATATAGCTTACCAACGGTGGTTAGTAGCTGACCCCTTAGGTAGGTTGGCGGTGGACCCGGCGAGCGTAAAAGGGGAATATGATGAATACTTGTATGGAAGGGTTGAAAGCCGCGCGGTGACGCTGTTGTTGGCTGCGATACCGGCGAATATCCGAGATGATGTTGTGACGAATAGATGGTTGACTACCACCGCTATTTTATCTCGTATCTTTTGTTTGTTCCAGCCTGGAGGGAGTACAGAACGTGCTCACTTGCTCGCTCAATTAGTTAACCCTGAAGTATGTAAGTCGTTTCATGAGTGCATTAAGGTTTTGAGACGGTGGAACCAATCGCTACAGCGTGCTTCGGAAATACACGCGACGCTCCCTGACCCTTCGCTGTTATTACGCGGGGTAGACGCTGCTACAGGTGGGCTCTTGGCCTCGAACCAGATGGTCGGGTTTAGGGTGAACTCCTTCAGACATAGGCTTGGTATCGATTACAATCCCACGGTTGCATCAGTATTACAGCTGGTGAAGCTTATCCAGGCTGAGGCGGAGGCTTCCTCTATCACGGCGGAGGGTACCCAGGACAAGAGGGCGCGTGCTGCTGCTGCTGCCGCTGCTGCCTCTGCTGTTCCCCCTCCTCCACCGCCAGCCGTAAATGCGGTTAGCGGGTCTGTAAATGAGGGAAAGGACAAGGGGAAGGGGAAGGGTAAGGGTGTTGAGGGAGATAAGCCCCTTTGCCATAAGTTCACTGACGCTACGGGGTGCAGGTTTGGGGATTCTTGTATGTTTAAGCACGACCGGGCAAAAGCTAAGAAGGAAGGTAGGTGCTTGGCATGCGGTCAAGAAGGGCATTTCCGTTCGGATTGCTCCCTGGTCCCCCCTGAGAATCGAGGGTCAACAGGGGAGTCTAGTCCGGAGTCGGCTAAGGCGTCGGGCCCAGGAAAAGGTGGTTTAGCTAGGCCTAAGGGTAAGGCTAAAGCGGGGGCCCAGGCGAAAGGAATAACGGAGGATGCTGATTCGAAGTCGCCATCGGCCGGGAGTGCTAATGCCACGGTATCGAGTGCCAGTCCGATTCCGAGCCAAGAAGCACTGGTAGCGGAAGCTACAAAGTTGCTGAAGGGTGTTGCCTTAAGAGCCATCGGGGTTGGTGATGATCCTGACTGGTCCTGGATTCGATCAGCCTTGGCCAGTGCTTCTAATCCTGAGTATTGTTTAATCGACAGCGGCGCGACGAATGCGCTGCATCCTGCAGAAGCCGAGGAGCTGCGGGCAGGGAAGGTGATCCGGGTTGACCTAGCCTCTGGTACTACGGAGTTGAGGATTAATGAGTTCGGAACTCTTCTTCATGGAGGTCAGTGTCAGGTCATCCTTCCTGCCAGCTACTTGGTAGACTTGGGATACTCAATCTCTTGGAAGCGAAAGGGGTGTACAGTGAAGCATCCTAAACAGGGGAGGCTCCAAGTGGTCGTGGTTAAGGGGTGTCCTTTGATTCCGAGGGATGTGGGATTAGACTTGTTGCAGGCCTATGAGAATAAGAGGGCTGGAAGGCCTCTCCTTAGCAAGGCTGAGGTTGAGGACTTGGGGTCGGGTCTAGGGGTGGTAGAGGCTAGGGGGTGGCTAAAGGACCGAGTCCAGTTCCGGGCTAAGGAGGGAATATCAGAGGTGGACCAATTGGTTTTCTTGAGGGCTATGTTCCCTCAAGTGCCACTGAAGTTCTTAGCCCGGGCTTGTGCGGCGCCGTTGTCATCTGAAAATGTCGACTGGGCCGAGCTGCCCTGGAATAGGAGACTCCGCAGGTCAGTTGACCGGGCGGAAGAAGGATCGGTTATGGTTGCTGTATCGCCTTTTTTCAGAACCTGGAAGGGTTTTGGGAGGGTTTTATCGGTGGCCAATTCGGAAAAGGGTTTGGGATGCAGGTTGGTGTTTCAGGCGCTTATGAGGTGGGCCCACTCTGGGGTAATTGGAGGTTTGGTAAAGGGCGCCGAGGGTTTTGGAGGATTGGGGGATAGTGTTCGTGAGCTCGATGAAGAAGGGTTGGTCAGGATGCTACGGTTCTCTTTGGTGTATGCGGTGTCTCAGGCTGTAAGGGATACCTGGTCAGAGCAGGGGAACTCGTGTGAAGGCTCCGTTTCGACCGGGAACCCTACATTGACCTTAAGCGGATCCTCTCGAGTAGGGAATAAGGAGCTAGAGTCTAAGGAACAGGGCTCAGAGGAATTGGGACCTCATAAGGTTTTTGGGGCTTTTGAGCCTATGGTCTTTAAGTCAGGGGGAGAGACTGTGGGGGTTACGAGCTCCTTAGTGGAGGGGTACGGGCTCCATGAGGCTAGGTTTGACCAGGGGTGCTTAGGAGCTCCCGGGGTTTACGGAACTAGGTTGGTGACCTCGTCATGGTTCCTCTATGAGGCTATTCATGAGATAAGAGCTGACTCCAAAACGAAGGCTGCCTTGGAAGTGATACAGGCGCAAGAGTTTGGTTTCTCGCTGGCTGAGGTAGGCTGGGTAGGTAACGTTTTGCAGATGGTGCAGAGGGCTTGGGTGATGTGGAAATGGGAACAGGGGCGCTACAAGGAGGTGTTAGAAAGGCGTCTTATTTTAAGGAAGCTTACGGAGGAAGAGGCGTATAAGAGGCATCTAGATCATGATCATGTTCCCTACCGTAAGGGGTGTCCTATCTGTATTCAAGCCCAAGGACGACAGCGCGCGCATTGGCGTAGTGGGTTCCCTGATATGCACTCGTTGAGCGTACACTTAGCCGGACCGTTTGTCTCAGGACAGTCTTGGGACGTGGAAGCTAGTGGTAGGGATCGGGGCAAGGGATACAAGTATTTTCTTGCCTGTGCCTATGCAGTGCCCGAAAAATATGTGCCAGTCGTCACTGCCGACGATGATACCGCAGAGTATGCACCGTCAGAGTGTGGAGAGCTGTTGCCGGTCTCACCTAACGAGGCGGACACCAGTGCCCTAGACCCATTTCAGGGTGAGGACATCTTTGGCGATTTAGGGAGTCTACCGGAGCCTGGTTTGTATGCGGTTACTCATCGGGTCAAGGGGAAGCGACCGGAGTCTGGGACCGGGGAACTGGGATCCGAGGTAGTGTCTTCTTCAGCCCCTGGTGTGGTGCCAGGAGGGGATCCGACCTCTGGTGGACCTGTCAAGGGTCACCGTACCCTTTTCTTCGGGGTTCCGTTGAGGACGAAGAGGGGTAAGGAGGTGTTTCCTTGCATTCAGGGGGTGATCAACAGGTTAGAAGCAGCAGGATTCCCTGTCCAGCGATTTCACGCAGATAGGGCCAAGGAGCTGCGAACGACGGCCCTCACAAGCTGGTTAAAGCATCAGGCTATTCATCCCACTTGGACGGCCGGGGAGTCACCGGCAGGTAATAGGGCGGAGTTAGCGGTTCAGAATTTGAAGGGGTTCGTTCGGAAGCTCCTCTACATTGCGGACCTTTCAAAGTCTTATTGGCCGTTGGAATTTGCATCACGCGTCGACGCGAAACTGGTTTGATTTCTGTGAGGTGGCGGGTGTAGTTCATCCTCCTTTGCTGCCTTTTGGGTTAAAGGTGCATGCTAGGAAGCGAGTTAAGACCGGTTTTGCGGCGCAGTGGGAAGCTAGAACCATGCCGGGCATTTACTTAGGGCAGGCTCCTAGTACTCCCGGGGGTCATCTCGTTTTGGTTGAGCAAGATGGTGGTCCTAAGGTGCTCCTTACCAATACTGTGTACCCCTTGGGGACAGGGCCTGTAGCAGTAAAGAAACCCAAGTATCGACTGGTAGGCAAGCGCTCCCCTCATTTTGCGGTGAGGGTGTTAGCTGCTCAAGAGCTACTGTGTCCGCTGACGACGGCAAGTGCCAGGTCAAGACCTGGGGGGGAGTGCTTTAATTCCTCTTCCAGTTTTTCGACGGAAGGTGATTTTGTGGTCGTCAGTAAAGATTCGACAGAAGGTGACTTTGTAGTCATAGGGGATGACCTTGAGGGTTCGGAGTCTGATATCAATGAAACCGATGTCTATCTTGAAGAAGAGGAGACGGGTTCAGGCTTCTTCTTTGAGGTAGGTGGGGGTTTGGCGGATGAGGAAGTGAGGATTCAGTCCTTAGAGGCTTCGAGTAACCCAGCGGATTGCTTTAGGGAAGAGATGACTAGCCGAGCTTGTTTGGAGTTGCTAGAGAAGGAGCTTGGGAATTTGCCTGTAGCCAAGAGGCCTATGCTTCAAGGGAATGGTAGGGCTGTCCTACTGGGGCTTTATGGGGTTGGTGGCTTCAGGGGAATTTCCAAGACAACTCAGCTCCATGAATATGTCACCCGTTGGTTGAACTCGTTCGTTCGGTTGCAATGCCCAGATCATGTGTGGACTACTCTTTATGTGTCCAAAAACACGCGAGCCCCTATGCATAGGGATTTGAGAAATGCAAAGGGCTTTGATATTTGGGTGCGCGCCGTCGGGGAGTTTACAGGGGGTGGGCTATGGATAGAGGGGGATTCTAATCAAGGTTGTGCTAGTCGAGTTCTTCCTAATGGAGGGTTGCGCTTTGGGTCGGTAGCAGATATCCAGAATGAGGGGGTCTGTTTTTCCGGTGAGCGGTGGCATGCTTCAGAAGATTGGCAGGGTGAATCTCGATGGGTCATTTCAGCTTTTACTCCTAGGGATGTGGGAATGGTTGAAGATCAGCATTGGTCCCTCCTAAGTGACTTAGGTTTTCCGGTTGAGGGAGTAAGGGCTAGGTTGAGGCAGGTAGGGATGCCTAAGGCAGCAAGGCAGCTTGTGGAAGAAGTAGCGGATGGTTTACCGGAAGTTTCATGGGAAGTGGGGATACCATTGCCTGTGGTGGACGATGAAGTGTTGCAGGGGTTGGATCACTTCCATCAGGCTACTTCAAGGTTGTCTAGGCTGCTGTTAGAGGACCTTTGTGAGTCCGTTGATGCTGTAGCCGGAGTCCCGGGATTGGCTGGCCAGTTAAGATGTGCCGAGAGAACCTGCGATTGGTTGGAGCAGTGCCTTAGAGCGGCACGAGATGTTGAAGCTGTTGCGCTCAGGTCTCTCCTAAAGGAGGTACCTTTGTCTTCGGAAGGGGCCCCTCAAGATCAGTTTCTTCAGACCCGTACGGTAGGACTAGCCGAGGCCCGGAAGGAATTGGATAAGTGGAAAGATCCCGCTTTGGAGGAAGTTAAAAGTCTTGAAGATGTCAATAGGGCGGTAGAAAGGATAACTGTTGGTGACATTGACAAGTGGTCAGCAGAGGGGATTAACGTTGTTCAGCTTCCGGGAAAGGTAGTTCTTACGAGAAAGTCGGGCACGGGGAAGAGAAGATGTCGTGCGGTGTGTTGTGGCAATTATCTTCCTACAGAGAAGCTAGGATTGACTAGGGAAGACTTGTACGCCTCTGGGGCGGAGTCGCTTTCAGTTAAGGTTGCTCTCATCTTTGCGGCGGGGCATCCGTCTTGGACGGGTGTTACGATTGATGTGAAATCGGCATTCTTGTATGCCCCAATCCGGAGTGATAGTAAGGGTGTAGAAGAGCGTATCATAGTAAAGCCGCCTAGCTTCTTGTTGGAGCTGGGTATCATGACCCGTGACGATAGGTGGTGGATCCGAAAAGCTCTATACGGGTTGCCGACGTCCCCCCGGGACTGGGGGAGATACAGAGATGCTGAATTCACTAAATTCTGCTTACGCTGGGGCGAGGATGAGTACCACTTGGTTCAAGCGCTTTCGGACGACGCACTGTGGTTGGCTCGCAAGGTTACAAAGTCCGGGTACGGCGACACCGAAGGTATCCTGGTCGTGTACGTCGATGATCTCGCGTTCCTAGCCCCAAAAGGGCTCGGGAAGGCCTTCGTGGCGGCAGTTCAGGAGAGGTGGAAGACCTCTACCCCAGAATGGTTCAGTGAGAGGCCTTTGACGTTTTGCGGTATGGAACTCTCTCAACATGGCTACGGATATCGTATGAGTCAATCTGCGTACGTGCGCGAACTGTTGGGGCGTTACGGTATCGAAGAGTCTGCGTCGACGCCGATCACTAGATGGACGGAACCAGAAGCGGGATCTCAGCCGTCAGCGGAGGAAATAAAAGAAGCACAAGCGATGACCGGAGCCCTTCTGTGGTTGTCTACCCGAACCCGTCCAGATCTAGCGTATGTGGTTTCACGCTGTGGCCAGCAAGCAACGATGTGCCCTAGTTTGTCGGTGAGCTTGGGAAAGCAGGCCCTGGCGTACTTAAGGACTACGATTGATATGGGAATTGAGGTTCCTCATGTTGTCGGAAGTACTTTTTCGGACCATGGGTTGCTGTCGTTACCTAGGACGGAGCGAGTGTTGGAATTATATACGGACGCGTCGCATAGCCCCTGTGGAGGGCGCAGTGTCCAAGGGATCTTCTTGCTGTGGAAAGGAGTTCCGGTGACGTGGGAGTCATCCCGCCAATCCTTCGTTACTTTGTCGTCGGCAGAAGCAGAATTGGTTACCATGATCTCAGGGTTGCAGACTGCAGAGGCGGTTTTGCCTTTAGTGCAGGAGCTTGTGGAACAAGATGTGACCATTTCTCTGCTCGCCGACAACGAAGCAGCCATCAGAGCCTTTGACACGGCGCCAGCCAGCTGGCGAAGTCGTCATTTGCGAATGCGTGCATTTGCTGCGCGCGAACGTATTAGTGCCAACATTCTGCGTGTCACGCACTTGCCAGGACAGTACCAGATTGCCGATATTGCGACAAAGCCATTAGCTCGTGCTAGGATTCTGCAGCTACTGGAGTTACTTAATATTCGTAGCCAGTTTAGGGTTTCGGAGTCAGCTAAGAACGCTAGGATGTTGAGTAGGATCTCTTTAGGGGGTGCTCCTGAAGCTGGGGTAGTAGCGCAGACCCTGGCAGGCTTGGCGTTACTGGCCCTGCTACCACGTGTCCAGGGGCAGCCAGCTGAAGACCGGCTGGATGTCAGCATAGGGTGGTTGAATTGGTGCTGGAGGTTTCTGGTTGTTGGAGTGGCTGTAGTCTGGGGCTGGTGGTGGTTTTTCGGCTTGGAAGTCTTGCAGGTCATGGATGAGGCTTTGGGTGCTCTTGGGGAAGTTTTGGTATCTGAAGAGTGGCAGGTGCTTTCTCCAGAAGGCTGTCTTATGACCGTAGGTGAAGAGCCGGAAGGTGGATCGCCGGATAGAGCCCTAGCAGAGACAGCTACTGGTACTTCGGAACCGGGAGCTCAGGATCGGGAATCTGGGGATGAATTTTCGGCCCATGAATGGGCCATAGTACAGGCCAAACTTCAGAGGGCTGAAAGGGTGTCTGGGTTGACTTTTGTACAGCGGGCAAGAATTAGGAGAGCGGTTGCTGCAGGAGGAGTGGTCGAACCCCCCATCTTTCAGCAACGGTGCGGCCCGCTTCCCGCTTGGTTGGTCGGTCCGGATATCTCTTTCGAGATAGCCTCTGGGGAGTCTATTCAGGGACCAGGTCTTCCGGAGGCCTTGGAGCACTGCATTGGAATATTCATCTTTATGTTAGGGATTTCGGCTGAAGAGTGGCTTATTTTGAGGGAGACTGCCCCTAAGGTGATGAATTGGGTTGGCTTGAGAAAGGTTAGAGGGCTACGGGAACTGAGGCCCAGGGAAGGCCCTTCGAGGTCGGGGCTTTCAAATCAAGCAGATTCCTCCAGTGCACAGTTCGAGGGGAGTTCGGGGCTCTCAAATCCAACAGATTCCAGTGCACAGTTCGGGGGGAGTCTGGAGCTCTCAAATCCAGCGGATTCCAGTGCACAGTTCGGGGGGAGTCAGGAGCTCTCAAATCCAGCAGATTCCAGTGCACAGTTCGGGGGGAGTCCTACTGTTTCAGAAGGTACCAGGAGTGAGAGTCAGGTGGGTAGGTTGCCTAGGTTCTCGTTTTTGCCTGTTCAGAGTGGAGGAAGCTCAAGTAGTACAGATCCGTGTCCAGTGTCGCTGCCCGCTAGCGTCGTAGATCCAGGGTTGCTGCCCGCAAGTGCTGCTGAGGATTCTAGCCTGTTGTTTCCTGGGAGTGAAGGATCAGTGGTCATCAGCTCTGGGAGCCATGGTATGGCTAGTCACCAGGGGGCCTGGGGAACTTGTTATGAGGATCTAGTTGGGGTTCCACAAGAGACCGAGGATTTCCCTTGGGTAGGCACCTGGTATCAAGTGCATTTCATAGTGCATCTTTTTTCCGCAGTAGGAGAGACGGTGCTAGGTATGTTGGGAGCGCGGGATAGGACTTGGTTCGTTTTGAGAGCAGCTTCCAGTGCAGTGAGACATGCTTTGGCGAGTGCGATAGCCGAGGGTCTTCGCAAGGGTCCGTACACGATCATGTTTCAAGGTGCTCAGTGGATGATAGCTGTTGAGGAGTACTTGCTTACAGGGTATCCGGAAACTGACCCTACGGAGGTCTGGGTTGGTACGGTTGAGGTTTTTCCGTATGTAAGGTGGGCACCTGGGATCACTGTACATTATCTGTGGCGAGTCTTTGCGATCATGGGAAGTAGGCTGTTGGCTTGCTTAGGGGACCGTGTGGCGGAGTGGGGTAGGTTACGCTCGTCCGCGCGGGGTTTCCATAGCCATGTCTTGTATGCAGTTATGGGGTGGCTTAGGGATACGGGGATCCAGAGGGTAGCCGATGGGCGTTGCTCTTTTGAGGCGGCCGACGCATACATCCTTAGCGGAATCAGAACCTTTCCTTTTGAAGAAAGGGAGGAAGCGGAGGATGACCCTACTATCGATGAAGGGCCGGTGAGAGGTTTAGCTTGGAGGCCAGACCCAGTTTTGAGGCTAGCGCCTGTTGCTGATGCATTATTTGGAGCTTCATCGTCCTCTTCGGGTAGCGTTGAAGGAGATGAGAGTTCGACGGTGGACCCTTCGGTAGGTTCAGTTGAGTTGCTAGGCAGCAGTGATGATGGTAGGGAAGCCCAATTTGAATCGGCTTCATCCCGGCCGGGATTGGCGCCTGGGCAAGCTGGTCCAACGTACGCGGCGGATGAGGGTTGTTTGCTGGTTGCCTACGTAGACGATGTGCTTCGTGTTCCTTTGCCAGGGTGGACTTTGGAAGAGGTGGAGACCATAGTTCACGGCCTTCAAACAGGGGATTGGGGGTTGTTCCAACAGATGATGGCTAGAGCGCAGGAGAGTTCCTCGGGGTTGTCTTCGGAAGGAGTAGTCCCGGAACTCAGGGGTTTTCGAACGCTGAACAGGTTCCAGGGGTTTGGGCTTAGGGGAGTTTTCTTGATCTTTTGGATTATGTTCAGCCTCCTTAAGGTAGCCGTGGCCCAGGAATCAGGCTTCAGCGAAGCAGTGGACTTGTGGTCTTGCCCCAAGGATTCCTGTGAGTTAACAACCCTCCCCGTGTTCTCAGATGTCGGGGATCCGGAGGGAGAGCAGGGGTACGGGTGTGATGGTTCGGTTTTGTGGGAGATAGCAAGGTTCGTTTCAATCGGCTTGATCTGGGAAGCCTCACGCTGGTTCTGGAACAAATGGTTCCGGAACCGGAAGTTGTCCCGGGACGTCGGCTGCCAAACCGAGAGTGATGGGGTGTTGTGTTTGCCTTTAGGTTCGGAGGTTCGTTGCAGGTCTCGTATCCTATTTTGTCTCTGGCGTGCCGGGTTTAAGTTTGAGGTGGACGCTTATCCAGAAAGGATTCAGTCGGAGTTCTATCATTCGGTGGGGACATACCTCTCTGGGCTCGAGGATGGTGTTGTTTCTGAGTCAGACTCCGATTGATTTCTTTCTAGGAAAAGGTTGAAGCGGGCTTAAAGGGCCTGACAGATTCTCCAGGTTCTTCAAGAACAGCTAGATAAGAGGTGCGACTGAGGTTCAAGGGTTATCCCCCAGACAGTAGCGCTGGGTTTTTAGAAGGTGGGATCATGAAGTGACCTTAACCGGAGGATTGGCCATAGGAACCTTGGTTGACCTCGATAATGACGGGATGCCTTGGAGTACGGTGATCCAATGCCTCCGTAGGAGGTTCGCTGTTTACAGTTCAGCGTAGCGGAATAGTGCTCTGATATAGGCTTTTGTCCCAACCTTTTGTGAAGGCCTGAAAGGGTCACGCATACAGAAGAAGCCGCGCTACGGGCGCTCCTTTTCCATTCATGCTAGTCCCTCGAGTTTTCGAGGTCTCTTGGAGAGGCCCTCGAAAAGGGGGAGTGCGTGATTCCAGCTTCTTGCATAGACCTTGTGATCCTGTGAGGCTGTTTCTTGTTCGAAAAAAGATCGGAGTGTTGGGAATTGCAGTGCTGTCTGAGAGTTAGAGCCCTAAGCTCCAGGCGCATCGTGTCCCTCAGTGCTTTACATCTCTTACTTCTAATCTTGGGTCATCTTTGTCGGTTGGTTGGTTCTTTAAATCTACGTACTTATAGTTTAGTTTAGGGTCGAGGTTTAGGGTTTTAGGGTTTAGGGTCTCCGAACGGTTTTACAGGAACGGCCCGGCACATAGAGAGACTGAGCAAATCTGAGGCAAGGCACCGGCTGAATGGGGCATTCAGACACGTACCAGGCAGCCAAGGCGGAGTGGCCCTTCAACAGCGCCACGTCGACGGGAGAATTCCTAGTATCTGAAGTCGAGAAGTTGGGTTTGGGATTCTACTAGTTACTAGCAGGTGGGGCCACATTGCATTCAAGTTCGGGGTTCGGAATTCTGGATATTCAAGGGTCTCGAGACTTCAATGCTGGGCTCGCTTCGGTTGAGGCACGAATCCTTTAAAAATGAAGCGCACCACATACATGATTACATAACGGCTTTAGGGAGTTTCATAGAAGCCTTAACACACCGCCTCGAACCAACCCCTTAAGCCCTGATCAAAGCAAGAAATCGAACAAGCTGAGCGCCTTGTGATCCCGACGAAGAGGAGCCCTAAACTCTAAGAAGAGGAGCCCTAAACTCCCTAAGAAGAGGAGCCCTAAGCTCCCTAAGAAGAGGAGCCCTAAACCCCAAGAAGAGGAGCCCTAAGCTCCCTAAACCCTAAACCCAACAGCCTCAAACCGAAGCCCGAAATCCCGATCCTTCCTGCCATGGACCCTGCAACCTTCAAGCCTTCCACGAAAGCGCGGAAAGCACTCGACGATTTCGGGTTGAGGTTGACCCGAATTTCCAGGCGAAACCTGTGATCTAGAGCTGAGCAAGGTCGAACTACATGGTTCAGGGGCACCTTGGGCCCTACAGAACGGATCCTTTCACTGAGAGGTCGAGATGTCAATCCTGAAAGGCTTCGATGTGCAAGTGAACTATGCGGGTAGTTCTCTAAATTAGGGTCCCTGTTAAGATCCTTTTATAAGGGTGCCGTACTATCTTGGAGACCCAAAAAACAGGGACTCTAGTTTAGAGAACTACCCGTACAGTCCTTTAGGAATGGTTTTGGAAAACGCGGGAATAAAGAGGTAGCCTCAAAGTCAAGAAAATCACACAGGGGTTGAGCGGTTAGACCGTCAGGGTTTTGGTACGCTTCGCCCCGTGCCTCTGAAAAGGTTGAGAGAACCCAGTAATGTAACCCCGAACCCTAAACAGCAGGCCCTGGCCCTATGTCATCAAACCTCAACGGTCGGAGATTCCGCCACTTGTTTTGCATGTCCGGATCGTGGCCGCACTTCACCAACATGTCTGCCAAGTCCTGCAGGCGCTCCACAGGACAGTGTGTTTAGGGTTTACCCATAGGCTCCATTGTAGTTCCTTTTTGTGGTTTATATTTAGTATCCTAAAAGCCCCTCCCAAAACGGAACTACAAGGGAGCCTATGGGTACAGAAGTATTTTTCAGGCTCATTTCGCTTTGGCCTTCAAGTGGCTAAGCTGGTTGGGGACAACCCTAAACACTAAACCCTAGGCCCTAAACCCGAAACCCGAAACCCTAAAGCCCTCAACCCCTAAACCCTAAACCCTGAGGCTCCAAGTATCAACTTCGAGTCAGCGAAGAGGAATTTGGCGCTGTGGAGTCCAAAGGTTTAGGGCTTTGATTGTTTAGGGTTTAGATTTTTTTGTTGAACTCCTTTTCTGCTGAGGGGAGCTTCGGTGTAATTTGCATGTAGCCGCTGGCTTGGCTGGAATTAGCGACGGTAACTTTGCATGCATCTGACCTCAGCTGAGGCAGGGAAGACAGGAATTGGTCGTAACATGTTTACCTGGGGCCTGTATAGAAATCTGAAGCAGCCCATACCGATACCGGCAACGGCAAGGTGATCCTGCCAGCCATAAGCAAGGGCGTAATGCAGCGGGCTGTTTCCTGCCATCGGGAAGCGAAAGGAACAGTGCCCTAAACCCTAAACCGTGATGCTTGTGGCATGGGGTTACAGCGTTGCACAAACTCAATCTGAAAATGGCTTCATGTGGCAGGTGACACCACGGTGATGTACTGCAGTATGTACTGCTTAACAGGTGTCCAGAGCAAGTGCATCTAACCTAAATGTGTGTTAGGCTTGGGAACACTCCGTTTTCCCAGTGGTGACCGAAGGAAACACGTTTGCAAAGTATTCACGTTCTTGTTTCGGGATCTTCTACGGGACAGGTGCCTGGGCCTCTGGGAAGCCGCTGACAAACCTCAAAATGGTTTCTATCAGCACCTTGCTGAATTGTTGAGACTTGAACTTGTTTTGCTCTTGCGTTTGGCCGACCATTTCTGGACAACCGGGACTACATTGTATAAGATGTGAAATTTGCTCCGGTAATAATTATACAGCATAGGGGCGAAGAGATTCTTGCCCTGAACACCCAGACCAGGGATGTACTCATCCCAATCTAGGGACTCAGCTGAATGTCCAAACAAAGGCGCCATTTCGAAAAGTCAAGGCCCAGCGGTCCCCCAGCCAAGTTTTAGATCAGGTGTGCTATTGCAGAAGTACTTTCAAGATGGGTCTGCTAGCAAAAAACCGCGACAAAGACAAACGAACATAAAAGTCCCACATGGCGAATAGCACGCCCCGGCAAGTGTAAACCCTCTCCCAGAGCCTACACCCTAAAGCAGCCCAGTCCAACCACATTGACCTTCCAACCCTGTCGGTACTCCGCGGCTTTCCTGAAAAGACCAAAGACCCGAGCTGACTATACTTTGACCCTATAAATTGAAACTTTATGATTTCCTGAGACAACTCCTTAAAGCGGTCGGATACGGTAAGTTATTTGTGGTCGAGGTAGCTCCTCAAATCTAAAACAGGGCATCGAGACCTGATGTGTCGCACTTGTCGACGATGGCCCGGCGGTGAAGCAGGTGCGACGTGAGAAGCGTGTGGCCGTTCCTTTCCCAAGCGTTGGGCGACACGAAACGGCATCTCCATAAGGTGTCTAGGCTCGGGGATTCAGAACCCTAACCCTAAACCCTAAACCCTTAAACCCTAAACCCTTAAACCCTGAACCCTTAAATCCTAAACCCTTAAACCCTAAACCCCTAAACGCTTAAACCCTAAACCCTTAAACCCTAAACCCCTAAACCCTTAAACCCTAAACCCTTAAACCCTAAACTGTTGAGATCTGAAGTGCAGTCATGTCTAAATCACCCTCGCGCTGTGTTGTGCAAGTGCATGGTGGTTGAGTGCGAGCGTGAGCGGATCAAGACTCCAACCTCGAATCCTATGTGCAACGATTACTTGGCTGCAAGATGCTTTG